GAGTTGGCATTCGGTTTATTAAATATGATGCTGTTAAAACAACGTCCCCCCATAAATATTTTGGAAGATTCATTGAAAACATGATAGCCCGAGCAACCTCAAGTAAATGTCTATTTTTTCATTCAGCAATTCCATTTTGTTGTGGAGTGTCACGACAAGTAGATTGATGAATTATGTTTTTGTTTATTAAGAACTCCCCTAAACATTCATTAAAATATTTAGTTCCATTGTCAGATCTAATGATGCATATTTTAGTTTCAAATTGAGTTTCAATCATGTTGTAAAAATCTTTAAAAAGTTTTTCAACTTCTGATTTTTTGCTTATAAGATAAACCCAACATATTCTGGTGTGATCGTCAATAAACGTCACAAATCCTCTTTTAATAAACCCAACATATTCATTGAAAACATGCGGGGGCCAATTACGGTTTGCTGCTATGGACAGTAAAATCCGAATAAAATTGACCTTGGCTAACGGAGATAGTCAATTCCATGAGTTTGAGTGAATCCTTTCGCTACTAATCTTGCTTTATATCTTTCGATACTCCCATCAGCTTTGATACCATAAAACCAGAAATTGAAGAGAAAATTTTATTTCTTCTTAATGATTCAATTCAAGGTGCATTTACATATAGGAGCCTCTCCTTCTTAGATAAGGAAACTAACTAAATAAATTTAAAGAAATTCCTATTACATTCCAAGACTAATTAAGCAAGATAAAAAATAAGGAAGGAGAATAATATCTGTAGAAAATGAAAGACAATAAATATTGTAATTTGAATTTTTGAATTTTGAATTTTGAATTTTGAATTAGATCCTTCAACAGAAAATGCTAGCACTCAAATAAGAAGTGGTTGCATGTTGCTTGAGCCTGCAGTCCTGAGGTTGTCTCAATGGATTAATACGAATGCAAGCTTATCAATTTTCTCAATTAATAGAACTTCATTCTTATAGCTTATAATTTTATTCTGTTTTGAAACTTAATTAACCCCCGTTCTAGGTATACTTCCATTGGGAGCATATATGATACAGAGCCAAATGCATTGTTATGCATTCCTTATCAGTCTGGCGATAAAGCAAAGTTCAAACCCGCTTATCTTTTATCAGATGGAAGACTTGAGAGAGCTGGGAGAGCAAAGAAGCTTGCTTCAAAGAATGAAACCATTCCTACCATGAGTAATGGTTTAAAGACTGCTCATCCACATCAAAGTTGCTCTTTTTCATCGTCAATCATTACAGTAGGTGATGAGATTCTGTAAGTTTTAAGGAAAAAAGCCATTTTAAGATTTTATTGTACCATTATTTAAATTTAATACTACCATTTTGTCCATTTGTTGCCAAATAGCTCTGGAAAACCATTGTACAGTAGATGAAGTTAACGACTTCGTATAATTGCACAAATTCTTGTTAGCTTTATTTGAAAATAATCGTGGGGACTGGTGCTTGTTCTAATAATACTGTTTGTTGTAATTTGTACCACTGCAATAATTTAAATGTAAAGAAAGATTCTTTTTTTGTTTAAATGGGTTAAATAACTGATGCTTAATAATGAAACAGGGACGTGATCATGACTAGAGATCATCCTGGTTCACAACATATCTTGAGAAGTAGGACACGAGCCATATTATATATGAGTTATTATTTTTTCTATGAAATATATTTCTGTGCAGTGAAGAGTTTGAATTAATCATATGGAATTAGGGAATAGTATTTTGTGTCAGAAATGAAATTGTTAAGGTATTAAAAATGATATCGGGAGAAAAAGAATAAATGAAGAGAATGAAAGCTTAAGAATAATAATAACATTGATTTTTCGTCTAACTTGGTAAAAACACAAGTTTTTTTTGTACAATTTTTTATCTATTTTCAATGAAACCGACAATTTCATTCTTTTGTGATTGGGTTTTTATGACAAAATACACACGAAGTCTTAACATTGCTATTATGATTACTATAGTTTCACTGTTTAAAGAGTAGAAGATTATTTTGTGATTGGAATTTTCATGACTGGAGTTATTTGTGCTCCTCATTAACTTTATTGTGAATCTTTTGAATAACTTTCTTCTCTATGAATACATAGATAATTCACCTATAAATAGGCGTTTACAAGAAATAAAACAAGGAAAGAAATCTGCCTACAATTAAGTAATTCCTATAATTATAGAATAAACATAAATACCTATAATTAAGAATTACTATTTTTATACTATCACAAAATATAGCAAGTACTAAATAACATTAAAGTAAATAATAATGAGCGTAATTCCACACTCCCCCTCAAGATGGGTTGTACAGATTGTACATGCCCAACTTGTTGGTTAGCTCATCAAAACTGGACTTAGGGAGAGCCTTGGTGAGAATGTCTGCGGTTTGGTCTCTAGAAGGAGTATAGACCAATTCAATGATTCCATTGTCCACCTTCTCTGAAATGAAGTTCCGATCAATCTCAATGTGTTTCGTTCGGTCATGATGAACAGGATTCTTTGCGATACTTATTGCAGCTTGATTGTCACAGAACATCTTGATAAAATTTTCTCCCATAATTTTAGGCTCCTTGAGAAATCTTTTGATCCACATT